CTTGCCTGTCTTCCAAACAGCATACAGTTGGATGTTGAGAATCTCTGTCTTTGTTAGGATGGTTGAACTGTTCACACTTATCCTCATATTTGCTAGGTTTCCGCCCTGGAAGCCTGACTGCCCTTGTCACCCAGCTGCCGGTCCCTCCCCACCAGCCCGGCCTCTCTCCAGCCCTGGGGTCAGACAAGCGCCCCCACCCCCACCCTGATCTCCACAGGGAGGCTGTCCTGTTAGGGAGGGGGCCCGCACAGGGTGGGACATGATTGAGGCATGCCTTTAAAAGCAGCCCCCCCCCCTTGGGGCGCCTGGGTGGCTCAGTCGGTTAAGCGTCCGACTTCGGCTCAGGTCACGATCTCGCGGTCCGTGAGTTCGAGCCCCGCATCGGGCTCTGGGCTGATGGCTCAGAGCCTGGAGCCTGCTTCCGATTCTGTGTCTCCCTCTCTCTCTGCCCCTCCCCCGTTCATGCTCTGTCTCTCTCTGTCTCAAAAATAAATAAAACGTCAAAAAAAATTAAAAAAAAAAAAAAAAAGCAGCCCCCCCCAAAAAATAAAAAAATAAAAAATAAATAAAAGCAGCCCCCAAAGTGGTCTTCCCAGGTTATGTGCCCCCTGCCCTGCTCCCCACCCTCCCACGTAGGCCTCTTGGCTCAGGCCACAGGCTTTGCTGGTACGCAGGTGGCCAACAGCATCTAGGAGCATTTTCAAGTTTCTCTTTTTTTTTAATTTTTTTTTTTAATGTTTATTTATTTTTGAGACAGAGAGAGAGAGCACGAACGGGGGAGGGGCAGAGAGAGAGAGGGAGACAGAATCCCAAGCAGGCTCCAGGCTCTGAGCCATCAGCACAGAGCCCAACGCGGGGCTTGAACTCGCGAGCCGTGAGATCACGACCTGATCCAAAGTCGGACGCTCAACTGACTGAGCCACCCAGGCGCCCCGGTATTTTTTTTTTTAGGTTAGCTCCATGCCCAATACGGAGCTTGAATTCAAGACCTTGAGATCAAGAGTCGCATGCTTTACCGAATGACCCAGCCAGGCACCCCTGAATTGGTATTCTAAAATAATCTCTCTGGTTGCTGAGCTGGGAATCAGTGGGGGGGACGGGGACACGGGTGGCGGCCATGGGGAGAGGTGGGATTCTGGGCACCTTCTGAAGGTGGAGACAATTTGCTCACAGACTGGATACAAGTGAGAGGGAGAAGGGTCAAGGCCGACGCCAAGGTTGGGGGTCCGGGCAATGGAAACAGTGGGGCTGGCATGGCCTGGGTCAGGAGGGCTGGGGAGATGGGGGGCTCGGGTGTACCCAGGAGACACCGCATCTGAGTCATTCCTGGGACCCCCAGGTAGGTGGGCAGGTGGGTACTTGAGACTGAAGACATAAACTGGGGCATCTAGAGTCTGTAGACCGTTTCCACAGCCATCAAGTTTGGGGTTTGCTCCCCTCACTCACCCGTCCCCCTGTGTCCTCTCCACCCATTCCGGAAACCCCGGCCGAGACTCCACACACAGTAAGCGCCCGGCAGATACGGACTCATGCTTGACTCGAACGAAGAAGATGGCCTGAAACGTTGGCCGTCTTTGCTGCTGCAGAGAAGCCTTATGGGAAATTCAGAGATCATTACTGTTTGGCTTTAGGGTACATAATACGATGCCATTTGCAGCAAATCTGCAAATAACCCCTAATTAGGTTTTCCTAGGCTAAAAAAGCAAATTTGCTTTCCCAGAGGACATGCCAACCACGGCGGGGGGGGGGGGGGGGGGGCAACAGTACAGAAGCTTCCGACAGGGCAGGGCAGGAGGTGGACAGAGGAGCTGGTGAAGGCCACAGATCATTTTGAGGCGGGGGAATCCAAGCGCAGGGGAACAGAGTCTGCTGGAAGCACAGCAGCACGATCGCAGGATTCTCATCTGCCCGGCCGCAGCCAGGTCAGCCCCGGGTGGGTCAAGGTGGGCAGGGGGCTGGAGTGTCTGTGCACGCGGGAGGTGTGAGTCAGCAGCCCCCCCCCCCACACACACACAGACACACTGCGCGCCCTGGACACGCCCATTTCTCTCCCTGAAACAAGAAGCAACAACGTCCCTGAAATTTACGGCTCTGCCTATGGGGTTTGATGGGCTCTGCTGGTCTTGATGGATTGTTGCTACGTCCCCGGGTCGGGAGGGAGCTAGGAGGTGGCGCCGACTCCCCCTCCTCCCCGAGGCAGGGCAGGGGAGGGAGGGAGGGAGAGGCCAGGACCGGAAGAAACCAGAGAGGCGTGGAGCTGCTGACAATAGCTCTCCCCCCCCCCCCCCCCCCCCCAGCGGCCAAAAAGGCAGGCCAGCTGCCCCTCTGCTCTGTCGCCCACAGCTGGGTGCTCAGTGGAGAGGCGACAGCGTCCTCTGCCCTCGCCCTGGTGACCTGTGGACAGACCGACAGACAGCCCGGAGGGGCGGCCGCAGAGCTGGGGGCAGGCAGGAGAGGAGCAAGGAGGAGACAGCGGGGGTGAGGGGTTGGATTAGAGGGACGATGGACGGACGATGGACGCCATGTACATGCAGAAGAAAATGATCTCATGCCCCAGAGGGAAGGAACGCCATGGGAGCCCAACACCTTTGCCTCCCTCCCCCCATTTCTGCCACCAGCTCCCCCGCTTCCCTTTTCCACACAGCAGTTAGAGCTATCCTTAAAAAAAAACCAACAAAGCCAGCTCCTATCACCCCCTCTTTGTGAGCCCTCTAGCAAACTCCCACGCCTCTTAGAATAGTGTCCTCAATACTCACCACAGCTGACAAAGCCCTACGCCACCTGCCCTGTCAGCCTGTCCTATCCCTCACCACCCTCCGCCATGTTGCCTTTCCCATTGGTTCTTTTCCTCCAACACACTAAAGCTTATCCCACCCCAGGGCCTTTACACTTGTTCCTTTCGCTTCTTCAAATCCTCTACTCCCAGCTCCTCGCGCGGCTGGCTCCTTCCCATTGTTCAGAATCAAGCTGAAGTATCACCAACTCAGAAAGGTCCTCCCAGACTGCCCTGTGGGAACAGGACACCCACCCCAAACCCTTCAGAGCACGTATCGGTATCTGACATTATCTCATTAACCTCTTTTTCTCAGTTACTGCCTGTCTCCTCCACAGGAGTGAGGACAAGCTCATCACTGCATCGCCAGCACCAGTAGCCTGGCGCTTAGTGGGTCCAAAATATGTTTCCTGAGAGCATCTGTCTAGTTTGTTCTGTCAGGCGCTCATCCCGGGATGGTGAGAGAGTGTCTAACCAGGCGCCCAGCACCCAGCCAGGCAGCCGACTCAGGAGCCAGGCACTGTGGCCGGTTCCTCACACTACCAGGTTCCAGGACTGTCCTTTTGGAGTCTACATTTCCCAACCCCCCCCCAAAAAAAAATCAAGGCAAAGATCTAGTGAAGGATATTCTCCCCCCGAGCTGTAAATTAATTGATGCAAAGTCTTGCAAAGGAATAAAAACTAACCCACACGCAGCCACACGTTCAATAAGCGGCCACCAAGGGCACAGGGGTCAGAAACGTGAGCTCCGGAGTTAGCTGGCCTCGGTCCAGAGCCGGGCCCGGCCCCTCAGCTGCCTGGCAACTTCGGGTGAGTTCCGGAACTTCTCTGCACCTCAGTTCCCTCTTCGACGCGGCAGAGATTAAAGCACCCACGAAGCGGGGGCAGAGCTGACGACACCGTTGGGGTTGGACCCGACCGGCCGTCAGGACGCTCAGTCAGCGGGGCCCATGTGAGGTGTGTCCCGTGACCGGCAGCCCGGCCCGCACAGGCTATGTCAGCAGACCATACGCGGCTCCAGAGGAGGGGTCCGTGCCACACGCCCCCTCCCCCGGCCGGCCGGGGCCCCACAATGACCAGGACCGGCTGCCAACACTTGAACTTTGACTCTGCAAAACTCCAAACAGCAGGTGCCCGGAGCCTCGGCCTTTACCTCCCACGTGCTGGCTGAGGTACGTCTTTCCTACACGTTGTCTAGAAGCGTGGATTTCCGCTGGGTTTTTCAGCCATAGAACATTCTTAGCAAATCACACCCGCCAAGGCATAGCTTTTCCTAAATCGTGTTGAGTGCCGGGTTCAAACTTACTTTTTAGCAGTTAGAACACGTTGCGCAAATCCACGTCACAAGGAACCCCAGTGTTGGAAATCCGAGATCAGGCGGAGCCCGTCTCCCTGGGATGGGGCAGGGGTGGGGGGGGCTGCAAGCCCCTCTCTCCACAGCCCAGTCCGAGGGCCCTGACTCCGCGCTTCCTCATTCTTTGGGTTTCCGGGAACTTAAACACCCAAGACACCATTTGGTGTGGGCCCGCTGCTGAGGCCCATGGGACTGTGGCCCAGACTCTTGGAGATGTTTGGATATTCTGGACTCGGGAGGGAAATATTTAGAACGAATAAACCAAGAAATCCTTTTTGGCAAAAAATGACCCGGGCCCATCGGTGGAGGACGGGTAACCACCGGGGCCATCCCACCCCCGCATGACCGTCAGCGTGGACAGAGCTCAAAAGTGCCGTGTCGAGTGAAAAAAGCAGGTGCAGGAAATGCACCTGTGGGATGCCCGTGAACCCCACGCACCGCGCGTTCCCAGCATGTGCTTATACAACACGCATGTGCCGGGAGCCATTGATGCCTAACTCGGGAAGGCACCTGTCTCCACGGGGAAGCAGGTAAAGCGCCCCCCGGCCTTCATCTCTGGTCCTTATTAAGAAGGAACAAGAGGGAGTCAGGCCACCAACATGGCAAGACGTTAACAGCCGCTGAATCTGGTGGTGGAAACGCGCTCTGGGGTGGTATTCCTGTGCGGCTTCCGTATTTCTTAAGTTTTCCCCATTAGCAGCAAGGGGGCTGACCGATAGCACCCCCCCCCCCCGCTCTGGGGGAGCATTTGGGGGCGGGAGGGGAGGGGTCCCCCTGCTGTCCCTCCCCTCCCCCCCCCCCACCCCCGCCCCGCACGGTGTGACCCACCCCTCCCCCACTGCAAGTGCCACTCTCCCTGCGGGGACCCCTTACCTGTCCGCAGCAAAGTGCCGGTCGCCAGAAGCCTGGTGCAGCTCACTGACGTTCTCCAGTCTGGCCAGCGCGTCCATTCGCTTCGCCATCAGCTCCAACAAATCGCTCATCTTGCGCAGGACGCCGCGGGACTCCGGCCCGCCCAACACTGCAGATGGCCCACGGGCACAGTCAGGCTCGGCCGCAGCCCGGGGGCCCCCTGAACCTGGCGGCTCAGACTCCAGCCCCGCTCCCACTCTCCCAGGCCAAGGAGGGGTCGGGAGGGTGAGCCCACCCCACCCCTCACCCCTGCAGGACAGGAGATCCCCGCCCCCCGCTTTGTTGTGTCGGGGTACAGAGCCCGGGGCCAACCTGCTCTCTACAACCTGGGTGACACTGAGATCATCTTAACCTCTCTGGGCCTCCGTTTTGTCGCCTGCAAAATGGAGCTTTAGACATCATCTCAGGTCTGTGCCGAGACGGGAAAGGGCCGGTTGGGGGAGCAGGAACCCCAGGGTCCCCCAGCACTAAGGTCCAGACAGGATTTCTGGATCAGGGCTTCCAAAAATGTGGTCAATCGCCCACTCCGCACCTGACTCTCCTGGCCAGGTTGTTAAAATCCGGATTCTCAGGCCCTAGTCACCGTCTGCCGATTCACATCTGTAGGGTGTGGGGCCCAGGGGTCTGCAGGCTGCTGGCCACCCACGTGGTGTGCATACACAGGAGAGGCCGTGAGCCCACGTTCAAGGAGCTCGGGGCACTGTTGTTCTCCGCCAGCCTCTGGGCCCGGCCAGACCCCTTCCCCACCCCACTCCCCCGGACCCCAGCCTAGAAAACCATCGCGAACTCGTCCTGACTCTCATTTGGCCGTTGGATTCCCAAAGATCGACTCCTGGACTGAGGGGCAAGAGAGACCTCGTGAAGAGCAAAATTAACTAGAAGCAAGGGGCTTCAACCGAGATGCCCTTCATTAACCAGCCCAGATTCTCCCACGATTTCCTAATTATTCCCAATCATCGTGTCACACGTGCCCGGGTGGGAGAGAGGTCCCTGCCTCCCTTTTCAACCAAATCACGTGGAGGTGTTAACGGCCCCTCCAAACGGTCCACAGGTACTCGGTTCCAGGCGCTACAATCCCCAGCTTGGCTCCGTGAGATTCCCCGGGGCCAGGCTCTGAACCTCTCACAGCAAATGAGCCCTGTTATGGAGACCTGAATGCTTCCCGGGGTTTCCCGGGGTGGGGATGGGAGGGCCTTAGGTCGGGTTCTCCAGAAGCAAAGCCCAAGACCAGAGTTTAAGGGCGAGGCTTTTATTTGAGAGGTGAAGGAAACCCCGGTCAGGGAGCGAGGAGGTGACACAGGGAAGGGGAGGCAGCCCAGAGAGGGCGAGCCACCAAACTGGGGAAACCAGCAAATGCAGAGCCTGCCCCCAGAGTTGTCCTCTGGAGGGGGGGGGGCCGTGAGGGAGCCAGGGTATGCGCTCAACATCTCCTGCAGTCACTGTTGAGGGCTGCTCCCAGGGACAGCCCGGCTCTGCTACTCTCCACCTGCCGTGGGTGGCACAGCCAGCTCCAACGACTGTAGGAAGCCCCCGGCAAAGAACCACGGTCACCGGACGCTGCCAGTCTGCCCGTGTGCATGGGCATCGTGAGGGCCGGGGGCCGGGGGACCAGCGGCACTGGGGCCCAGTGAGCTCAGAGGGGCTCTCGCCCACCTCTGCCACCAATCCCCGATGTGGCCGTGTGGCCAAGGGCGAGTCATGGCAACACTATTGGCCTCTGTGTCCCCAACCCAAGGAACAATAATCCGATGTCACAGTGCCAAGAGGGGGCAGCAGAGAGCATGGCAGGCCACTAGGAAGTGGGGGGCAGAGGTGGGGAGAAGAGGGGAGACAGGAGGGGGCTGTTCTCCTCTGTTCCAGGCATAGGACTGAGCTGGGGGGGGGGGGGGCGGCGGCAAGGAAGGCTTCGTGTCACCAAGGCTGCCTGTGACGTTTCTGCTTGGATTGTCCCCCATGTCCCTTGGCTCTGGGGCCTGGCCTGGCCCAGTGGCTGCTACCACTTTCTCTCACTCCTGGCTGGGGTCCCCTGGAAGCTGAGCCCACCTGAGGTCAGAAGGGAGGCCACCAGGAGCCGGGGAGGGCTCATTCACGTGCTATGGAAGGAAGTGCCAGCTGGCCACCAAGTCCCCAGCAAGGCAGAGCTGCAGTTTCCTTAAAGAAGCCGGGGTCCTGGGCTCCAAAGCACGCACACACATACACACACACACACACACACACACACACACACACAGTTACCCAGGAACAACAGCGGCAGGACGGTGTTGGAGAAAATGCACATCTAGAGGAAGGAAGTAAAGACGCACCGTCTCCACCCCGTCTCCATTCCCGCACCAGCCGCTGAAGTAGCTAGAAGTCTTCCCACATTTCCCCCCCTTGGAAAGACTGGGTAGATTTTTAACAAACCAGTCGGGATTAGGAGATTTCACCATCGCGTGAGGTGAAGCCAGTTTCTCCCACCGCTCCACCCCGCCCCACTCACTCAGTACTCAACCAGTCAATCAATCCAAGAAGATATAAATAGCTTCCTCTCTCTTTCAACTCCGCAGAATCGGGGCCAACGGTTAGTCTTTCAAATCGCTCTCATCCCTGAGACCCCCACCCGAGTCCATCATCCAAATGTAACACCTGGCTTTCACGTGATGCCCGGAGCACAGAGTAAAACAAGAGGGGGGGTTCCCATCATCTCAGCTAGAAAAATAGGGGAACATCAGATGATCTGATCTGGCCGCTGCTTAGTACCACTCTTGGAGTTGTGCAGTGCGCCACCTGCACGGCCTCCCGGGGCAGCCCTGATGAGCCGATGCTCACAGCTCAGGCTCAGGTGGCCTCTTCCCCAAAGGTGTGGGATGAAAAAAGGAGAAGGAGACAACAGCTGGGGACACCCTCAGTCAGAGCCTGTTAACCAAGCCCCTCTCCCCCAGCCATGACCTGGCCAGAGCACTCAGGCCCAACTGGACCAACCAAGAGTCTGGGCAACAGCTCGCTCCTGCAGACGCGGCACCCCGGCGATGCTGAGCCCATATCACTGCTTCTGGAGCAGTGCCGTGCTCCCTGGAAGGCCTCGGGCCTGGCACCCGGGCCCTGTCACACCGCCGCCCTCTCTCTGAGCCCATCCCAGGCTTCCTCCACTCCTCCTCACTGCCTGAGCCCCTCCCTGGAACCGCAGGGACACAGCCTCCCCACAGACACACCCTTAGCCCCACTGGGCAGGCTGCAAAACAGCTGCTGGGGCCAATAACCGAGAGACGCGGCGACCCCAAAAGCCAAGCAGAGTCAGAGCAGGGCAGCGGCCTCGGGCAAGCCGGAGTGGGAGTCGCGAAGCCTGGACTCCACCCGCTCGGCCGCCAGCCGCAGGGGTGCAGGACCGATAGGTGCGCCACTTTCCCTCTCTGGGCCTCAGTTTCTCCTCCTCTAAAATGAGGGCGTTGGACTTACTGGACCCTGAGGTTCTATGGGCTGGGACTGCCGTTGTGGCTCATCCCCTAATTGCCTCTGGAGATGAGGGTGATAGGAGAAGAAAGAACCGTTCCTCCCAAAGGTGGCCGAATCCCCTTAGGGTGAGAGCTCAGGGCCAGAGCAGGGGCTAGATGCCCAGGGCAGAGGGACAAAGAGCTAAATGACCCTGCATATTCAAGTAGGGAGACTGGAGATTCCTGGCTCAGCCTGGGAGAGGAGGAGGGAGAACGAGGCAGGGGGCAGGGGGGGCAGGGCAGCGCCCGTGCAGGGGTGGGGGGGAAGCGCCAGCTGCAGGGATGCAGGAGGAAACTGCCGTTACCCCCACCTCTGTGCAGGGGCTTCCGGGAAAGCATGCCCTTGCCTCTAGGTCAATGCCGGGGACACCGAGGACGTAGGAGGGGAGAAGCAGGAGATCAGAGCAAGAGGCGGCCAGGGAAACGTAAGCCCCCCAGAGAGTCCTCAGAGACATGTGGGGTTCGGGATGGCCCTTCATAGGAAGGATGAAGGGCGCCTGGGTGGCGCAGTCGGTTAAGCGTCCGACTTCAGCCAGGTCACGATCTCGCGGTCCGTGAGTTCGAGCCCCGCATCGGGCTCTGTGCCGACAGCTCAGAGCCTGGAGCCTGTTTCCGATTCTGTGTCTCCCTCTCTCTCTGCCCCTCCCCCGTTCATGCTCTGTCTCTCTCTGTCCCAAAAATAAATAAACGTTGAAAAAAAAAATTAAAAAAAAAAAATGTCAACAGATGGGGCGCCTAGGTGGCTCAGTCGGTCGAGCATCCAGCTTCGGCTCAGGTCATGATCTCGCAGTCTGTGAGTTCGAGCCCCGCGTCAGGCTCTGTGCTGGCAGCTCAGAGCCTGGAGCCCGCTTCAGATTCTGTGTCCCCCTCTCTCTCTGCCCCTCCCCCACTCATGCTCTGTCTCTCTCTGTCTCAGAAATAAATAAACATTAAGAAAAAATTTTTTTAAATGTCAACAGAAAGGGTAACCCCAGAAGACCCGAGGGCTGAGGGACGTGGCTAAGGACACAGACGGCCCCTTTCCGATGGGTCTGTAAGGCTACCTCCATCGGACCAGACCAAGACTGCAAGACCGTCCCCAGCCCCTGGGGGACTCAGGGTGGCCCTTCTTGTCTGCAAATGGCACAGACTAGAAGCTCCAGAGACCTGGGCAGCCAGCTCCCCACCACTTGCGGAGGATCTCCGGGGCACGGAGCTAGTCCCCTGACTGCCACCACCCACCCAGGGACTGTCAGCAGAGCAGCCCCTGCCACGCTTGCCCTGAGTCACCTCACCGCTCTTGGTGTCGGCTAAATTGAAATGTATTTAATGTGAGGCCCCAGCGTTGTCTCCATATTTCCATATAAATAAGGAAAGCTGGGAAGCCAGGAGATCCAGACAAGAGGTGCTCGATTTCCCACCAGGCCCCCTCTGCTCCCTCCTCCACACTCTCTGTGTCTGTCTCCCATCCTCCCTTGTCCCCACCCCCCAGCCTTGTCCTTTCTTGTCCCCACCCCTACCCTTTCTAGCTGGTTCCTGGAAATGGGAGGAGCCCCCACGTCGTGTCAGGTAGAAGAGACCTCCCTGGCCCCCCATCTATTACCAGCCTCTGAGAGAAACAGCCCCCTAGCACCGTGGTCGGAGGCCAGAGACAGCCACAGAACAAGGAAATATTTCTCTGATGTTCCCCAGGTTCAAATCCTGGCTGGGGGTGCGGGGAGCAGGAAGGGAATCCGCAGCAACACTGGGAGGGAGGCCTCGGACGCAACTTCCTATCGGGGCCCCTTGAGCAAGTTCCTCCCGAGGACAAGACAGGAGGCAGGGACGAGGGACTGGGGTTTGGTGAGGCGCATGCCCAAAAGCCTCCCCCCGCAAGGCCCAAGCCCCTTGCAGCAAGAGGGAATTAGGTTACATTTCTCCCAGTCATGCTCCCCGCCAGCTTCCTTCCCCCTGGATCTTAAGACGAGTGAGTAGCATATAGAAGGAGATTTTTATCCCCCAAATAGCAAACTTTATCACAAAATATAAACTGGCCCAGAGGGGGATCTGGAGCCTCCCCAGGGAGACCACTGTTGACCGAGGCTACCGTCAGCCCCCGCCTTGTGGAGAACACCCTTCTTCCATCCACCTCTCCCCAGCCTCGTCCTGGGGTGACCCGCTGCCCTCACAGGCTTGACAAGCCGGGAGAGGACAGACTGTTTCCCCAGTTGGGCTCAGATGGTTCTGTTGACCGATGCAAGGATTTTTTTTTTTTTTTTTTTTTTTTTTTGGATAAGCATAATATGATGCATCCACACAATGGAATTTGCACGACAGCCGTGAAGACAAATGCCGACAGCCACACACCAGGAGACGGGCGGCTCTCACAAACAGAGTCGTGAGAGGAAAAGGCACACACAGAATCCGCCCCCCACCCCCACCCCCACGCAATTCCACCCTCCGACAGTCCGAAGAAAAGGAACAACTCGTCTGCGCTAGGAGAAGTCAGGGTCCTGACACCCCTGGGGCAGTCATCCGCGGGAGGGGGCAGGAGGGCACTTCCGGGGGCTGATCACGTTCTGTTCCTTGATCTAGGCTGCTGGGTGCATGGATGCATTCGGTCTGGGGGCACTACAGTCCAGTAGAAAGTTGAATGCGCACACACACAACACATGCAGACACACACATGCCTCCAACCTAACTGCGTGACCTTGGGCGAGTCCTCTCCCCTCTAGGGCTCCGCCCACCCCCAAGACACAGATCTGGCTGGCCCTGGACTCCTACGGTCTCTGCAGGCAAAACTGCGCAGGCACAGCACCGCAGAGCTCCCGCAAGCCCTTTGTGCTCTGGGCCACTGGACCCATCCCCTGCCAGGGAGATGAGCAGGGGGACCAGAGCCCAGGCATACGCCCCTCCTCCCCTCCCCCAGCCCCCAACTGCCACCTTCTTGGATCCCTGACCTTTCTGGAGACCCAACTTCCTCAAGCCCCTTATCGCAGCCACCCAGACAGACACGCCCCCTCTCCAGGAGTGGCAGCCAGGGAGCTTGACCGGCGATCTGTGCAACCTACCTCCTCACACTCATCCACCCGCCTCCCCACCAGTGACCTCATAGCCCCCGCCAGCTTCCCCTCAAGTGCACCCTGCCTTCCGTCTTCCAGCCCCTATTCACACGTATATCTCCTGTGTAGACATCCCAGCATCTCCTCGGCCCTCTTCCCTAGACAACCTTTTCTGCACTGTCTCAGACTGAACATGTCCAGTAAACACGGATGGAACATGCGCCGTGTGCCAGACGCTGCGAGAGCCCCTCCATACGTGTTATCTTAATGTTCCTGGTGGCCATCCTGGGGGGCGCAGGCATGATCCCCGTTTATCAGAGGAGACAACAGGAGCTCGGGGAGACTGAAGCAAGTCTCTGCAAGTCAGAGCTGGGACACGTTAATGTACATCCAGGTTTGAATGACTAATAAATGTGAAATTCCTGCCAGGAGCTTTTGCAGATATAAAGAAGTACATGTGAAACCAAAGGAAGAAATCTAATGAGGAGACACCAGATGGCCTAACCAGGGCCCCTGAGAGCATCCACCCTGGATGACAGCCCATTCTACTTAGGGTATATTTGCCAGTGGGAACAGGGGAGCCACATCGCCGAGCCCCGGGGCGGGGAGGGGGGGGGGGCGAGAAAGTGGACTTCAGACAGACATCTCTGCAGAGTCGCCTACCCAGCCAGCCCGATGAATAGTTCCAGAAGCCTCATGTGTCTCAGCTGCCCCACTAACCTGCGTGTCTCCCGCCCACTGTCACCAAAAGAGCCTCTAAGAAACACTGAGCAAGACTCTGCACTGTTCACCGCTCTTCCTGGAGTAGGAAGAGAGGGGAGGAGGGCCATCCTTGGGGGTTCTTCCTGGTCATGACCCCGTCATGCCCCCAATGCTGTGAGCTCATTCAATCCAGCCCCCGAAGACGGTCATGACTTTCCTTCTCTGTAGGTGTGCTAAGTGCCATGGCCAATCGTATGCAGCTGGGGGATAACGAGCCAGGGTACAAACCAGGTCCATCTGGTCCCCAAAGCCCATGCTCTGAACCTCTGTTCCGCTCCCTCACATGTATTACGTGGGCAAGGAGCCACGAAGGTCTGGACTGGGTCCCAAGGGTTCAGAGATAAGACACATGAGCCATGACTGGGTCTTCCCTCTGACTCCGGCCCCCACCTCCCACCCCCCTCAGCCGTGGCCACAGCCTGGGTCAAAAGCACAAAGTATGTGTGTCTCAAAGGGACAAGCGTCATATTCGGAAACACTCTCCCCCAACACACACACTGAGGAAACAACTCAAGCAGCCCCTTCGGATGCCTGGGAGACCCCGACTCAAAGGCCCTTCCCTGGCCCGAGAGTCTGCACCAGAAGAAGGCTGATGATCACAGCTCTGGGGCACCAGAGCAGCGTGCAAGGTCACGCGGCCCAAGCCACGGTCCCTTTCCAAGCACACATCCATAGACGAGGTGGCCAGGATCCCTGGGACGGAGACCCAGAAGGTCCCTTGAGTTCGCTAGGTTCAAAGGCCTCCTTCTCCCAAACCCACAAACACCTGCACCCGTTTCTGAGTCACTTTCCCCACCAAGATACCTTCTGTGCGGATGGTGAAGGGGGAGTCCCCCGGGCGCCGGGCAGAGAGCTGGCCTCCCAAAGACGTCATCAGGAAGCACAGTGAGAAGAAGCCGATACCCAGGACAAAGAGCCTGCAGGGAGCGACAGGGCGGGTCAGAGACAGGTCAGCGGAGTGCACCCCTACCCAGCAAGGGCTCTGTACAAATGAATGGGTGAGGGTGTGAGGATGAAACGGGGCTGAGCTCCTGGCCAGGTCTCTTGTCACAGCAGAATAAAGAGAAGTGGACTACAAGGGGCTGGCCACGAGCCTCACGCAAAACCCCAGGGGACAGTGATACAGGCACAGATCCGGCAAGTTCTAGACTCCAGACAGAGCCTGGCTCACTAAGCAGGCTCAATGTGTGATCCCCAGGCCAGCAACAGCATCACCTTGGAATTGGTAGAAATGCAAAGTCTTGGGCTCCAATCCTAGGCTTACTGAATCACTCTGGGGGTGGTGCAAGCAACACGTTTTAACAAGCTCTCCAGGCAATCCTGCTACGCGCTGAAGTCTGAGAAGCACGGGCATAGATGGAAACAGCAGGACCCGATGCCAGCCAGAGGGCAAGTAATTGGTCCAGACAAAACCCACCTGGATCCCATCAATCACCTGGGCTCAGCTCAGCACTGTGCACACAGGTCTTGCCAAGGCAATCAGTCATGAGCTGGCTTGAACACCTCCTTATCATGTTCGAGGCGGGTGGCGTGTGCCTCCATTCTTACCAGAGGGTACGATCTACAAGGCCAGGGCCATGTGGCCACCTTCCAGGCCCAGATTACTCCCAACCCACATCTTCACCAGGCAGGCACATAGCAGTCGTCAGCTTCCGGACTGACCAATCAGGGAGGCGGATGCCTGAGCACGGGGTGTCATCTGGGGAGCGCGTTATTGCACGGATCAGGAGAGCTGGTCAAAACAGGACCCTTGTTCGTCCCTTCAACACATAGTTGACTAGTTCCCAGGTGCCAGGCACTGGGGTAGCCCCAGGGGGACAGCAGGGAGCCCCATGTTCCTGCTGTTCCCGTACTAGGTGCCGGGCCTCAAACAGGAGAACTGAGCTAACCAGCACAGTCGCAGGGAGGCCAGAGGTAGCAGCTTCTCGGGGACCTTGAATGTATCAGAGGACTTGCAGAACTGGCAGAGCTAAAAACGGAGACCCCCGCCGCTCTGGTCAGGGCGAGGAACCCCATCCTATATGGAGCCAGGCTCACCACAGGGAGCCCCACAAGTCATGCTAGAGACCTCCAGCCCTCTCACCTCCACCCGCCACCCTCCACTCCACATTTGTGTGCGTCCCCATGCAAGACTTGCTTTATGCATTTTAATCTTCATTATTTGAAGGTGGCAGAGCAGTATTTAATTAAAACTTGGCCCATTAAAGAAAACACACAATTGCAGAAGAAAATAAAAGCACAACAAAATTGCACCCCATATTTAAATGAAGCTGTTAGAGATTAAATTGGAGAGGGGGCACAACCCCAAAGCAGAGAAAGCACTGGGGGCTTCCCCCAGGAGGTGACAGGAGGACAGGCGACCCAGCACGAGACACTGCTCCCTCACCTCTGAGGGACCCTCACTGCATTCCACCAAGCTTGAGGATGGGTCCCTGGGATCCCAAGATGAAGCCAGGCTGGTCTCAGGACAGCAGCCAGAGAAACAGTGTAGGAGGCGGGTGGTTGTGCACCCAGGAAGATTCTGAAAGAATCAGCTAACATCTCCCGGCCTGAGGACAAGGACGGATTCCTCAAGTTTATTGTCTCCCGCTGCCTCAAACCCCCTCCCCAGCTATGGGGTTGTATTTAGAGCCAGGGCTCAAACAAACCTGCTATGAGAAAGGGATCTAAACTTTTAGCCTAGAATCTGACGCCCCAAACACACCTCATCTGAATCTCTCTCTGCCAGACCCCAATCCTAGGGCCATTGATGGTGGATTCCAGTAAAAATGGTTTCGTCCGTCTGTGTATCCATTCAAACGATATTCCGGGAGCAACTACAGAATGAGGCTCTGGGGAAACTAAAGGGAGCAGGGCTCCCAGCCTGGCCTTAAAAATTAACGGGTAAAAAAACAATAATAATAATAAAAAAAAATAACAGGTAGAGGTGATGTGGTTAGAGGCCAGCCCCCCTCCATCTGAAGGGGACACGAAGATCCCACTGCTGGCTGTGACTCTCTGGGTAGCCTAGGAAGACCCTAGGTGAATAAACAGAACTTGAAGGGAGGGGAGTCTATGCAATACCACCTCTGAATCCTGGCTTCAGATAAAAGCCTGAAAAGCCAGGACCCCGGAGGGAAGGAGCGCTGGGGAGTGGGCGCTGTCCATGGTGCTGGCTCCAGCAGCCGCCTCCAATTGCACCAGAAAACGTCCAGCCAAAGCTCGGGTCGGTTGGCGGGCCTTCCCATGACCTGGAGGGCGGGACGACATGGGGTGGCAGAGACCGGGAGAGGACCCTCTCAACGGTCAGTGTCAGCCAGGCCTTCGAGGATTTCGCTGGAGGAGTGAGGTCCTTTCCAGGGACGCCCACCTCCCGCCCTGCTTCCCATGCGAACCTTGCGTCAAGCCATCCCCCCTGCCTCCTGCCCAAGGCCCTACACTTGGGACCGCCAACTCTACGATCCTCCCCTCCCGCATCCTCCAGACATCGGCGGCCCATCATGAGCCGTGCTGTCGGGAAGGCAGGCTGCCTAGCTCCACACTACAGGCCCAGCCCATCCAGAGGCTGGAGGGGCTGGGGAGGCCGGAGACACCTGAGCCAAGGTATTCCAGTCTGGGGGCTGGAGGGAGACCAGCTGGAAGGGGCGGGGACGCCGGCCAAAGGCCTGGAGGGGAGGGGCTCAAAACACGACCCTCCCACAGCCCTCCTGCGCCTCTTCCTGCCCAGCTCCTGCCCCAGCGGAAAGGAGCCGCGTCCACACCGAACCTGTGGCCGCATCCGGAGTGCGACCACCGCCCCGCCCTCGCCGCTCCCTCGGCGCCCTCTGCCACCCAGCCCCCCTGGGCAAGGTGGCTCTCCGACCCCGCTGGGCACCCATCGCTTAGCGTCTCCTCCCCACCCCCCAGCAGCAGGCGGGCTCCGCGGGCTCTAGGGAGAGGAGCCCGGGGTCTGGGAGGGGGGAGGGGCCTGGAGGGGTTCGACAGAGCCCAGCTAGACTCGGCCCCCCCGAGGTTGGGGTGAAAGGATCCGTCTTCGCCTCTATCCTGCCTCCACGTTCCCAGAGGTCCCGGCTCCCGCTGCCCTGGCGCTCCACAGCGCCGCCCCTGCCCCCAACTCTCCACGGACGCTAAGGAGGATCGAATTCCCAGCAGAAAGCGGGGTGGGAGGGCGTCCTTGCTCCATCTCGGGGAACCTCCCGTTAGAGACAGGCCCGCACGCCGCCGGGAAAACGGGAGCGCGAGCAGAAGACGAGGGCAAAGCGGTGGGACAGGTGGACGACTCAACCCAGGGCTCGGCTCGCACGCGGGGCGGGGAAGCCTCCCAGCACCGCGCAAGAACTTCGCCGCCCGGGTGGGGCCGTCTGAGAAGTGGGAAGGACCCCGAGGGGCGGGGAAGGGGCACCCTGGCAGAGGCGACTTCCCGGGCCCAGGGCCACAACCCGGGTGCGCTCTGCCCCCGTTCCCACCCTCGCACCCCGAGTCCTCGCCACCCCGGGACACGTCTCAGAATTACACGCCCCTCCCCACCCGAACCCGAACCTCGGCCCCATCCCTTCTACAGCCCCGCCGGCCATCACAAACACGAACCGCCGCCCTCTGCCCCTGGGACGGGCACCCTCGCGGGGAACGACCTCGCCCACCCCTACCCCGCGCCCCCTCGGACAAAAAGACCTCCCCGCGCCAGCCGGGAGAGAACTTTACCGAAAGGGTCTCAGGGTGACCAGGCATCTTCTGACCATTATCTTCCCATCCGGGTTGACTGTGATCATTGTTCAAACTTGTCTGGGCGAGGAGCCGCGGGCAAGGCCGGACGCACCGTCCCGGGCCCTGCTCCCGCCGCGTCCGGGCCGCGAACCCGCGGCGGGCCGAAGCCGGGTCTGAGCGAGGCCGGGAGGGAGGGAGGGGGGGGGGGGGGGCTCGGCGGCTTCGCTGCTCGGGGTCGGCGCGGCCTGGGCGGGCGGGGAAGGGGAGCGGCGCGGCTGCCGGAGGGCGGCGAGGGCGCCCAGCCGGGCCGTCTCTGCGTCTCCGCCCTCCCCGCTTCACATTTTTAGGGCCGGGAGGCGGCGCGCTCCCCGACCGCCGGCCGCGCGTCTGCCTGCTGGGGCTCGCTCGCTGGGCGGGACGGCGCCGCGGCGCGCAGACGGGCTCCCCGCCGCGGGCGCCCTCATCCCCGG